CCCGGAAGCGAAGCGAAAAACGGAGCGGCCCGGTGGGAGAGCGCCCGGCAAACGTAAGGGTTAACGGTGCTTCCGCCCTGCAGGTAGATAAACGTGCTCAGTCCACAGGTCGGCTGTCAGAACCGTCCCAAAAGCTGCTGTGGGCAGACCTTGGTGGCTTTTAGAGCACCACGTCCAGCCCAGCTGTGCACTAGTAGGACTGCAAGTAGGACCCGCTAAACACCGGTACGAACCGCGTTCAGTGATTCTGTGAAGATTATTTATAAGCATGACGAGATTATACACAGGCATATATGTAAAGGGCAGCTCATTTTGCCCTCAGAAGGGATGAGCCAGGATGTCCTGTGCTTACAGAAAAGCTGGGTGAAGACCATTTTGCTTGCTTTCCCCTTCCTAAGTCTCTGTAGAGAGGGGTTTACTAATATTTCCTTTAGTGTTTGGCATAAGAGAGCATTATTTAAGACTGTTCTCGGTTTCATGCAACTAAACACCTGCATACAGGTCTCTCATCTCTGAACAGCAGGATCTGGGCCAGTAGTGTGGATTTTGTGGACAAACTGGAATAATCAGAATTGTGTCAAGCAGTGCCAAATTCTACATAATTAATGAAAAAGACTGGCCATAGTTCCATATACAGCTTAGGGGCTGGCTGGGCTTTAATCATCACTGGAACTTGGGCTTTTTCTTCTCTCCTGGGCTGTGCAAGTTGCCCAGCTCTCACCAGAAGTCACAGCTAGGTGAAGGTCATTTCACACCAAGCCGGTTCCAGCCCCAGCGGTGCTGTGGTGGTTATGAGGATGGCACAACAGTAACGGGAATTGTGCGGTGACGCCTCTTTGTCACTGCCTTTGCTCTCCACATCAGCCGTGCAGCTGTTTTCTGTGAAAGCAGTGCTAGGCAGAGAGTATCGGTGCAAATCAGGAGACTGAGGCTATGTGCAACCTATTATATTTACAATTTCAATTTCTGTGCAGATCTAAAGCACTACAAGGTGAGTTTACGATCTGTTAATTGCCCATTTCTGGAGACTGTAAAATTAGCAGCATGAAAAAGGACATTTAGGTAACTTCAAAAAGGCACTATATATTGCCATCTTAAAAATTTCTCTTATTTCTGCCTTTGCTTTTTTTTTTCTTAAGGAAAAACTCACCCCTTTTCAAATTTGCAGCATGAGTCACTTTCTTTAGAAAGCAGGGCTTTGTGCATTACAAAGGCAAGCCTAACTCCTTTCCTTGCCTGTTCCCATAGTAACTCTTCCAGCTGATGCCCCGGTGAAGACTGTGTTCCAAGTAACACCGAACCCTTCATAGGCTGAATTACTCTGCAGTAATAGAGAATATTTTTAAAGTTTGTGAAACTCCTGAAAGCCCAGAAAAGTATTAACACTTGCAAAATGTGAAGCCTTGCGAGACTTCCTTTTATTCGAGAGCTGTTTGCTGTTAGTGCATGGTAGCTGTGACAAGATTTAGGCGGGATGATGTCGCGGCTGGGAACATCAGCTTCTTTGTGCAGGAGACAAAATGTGCGAGTGGCCTTCTGGGGTTTTTGCAGGCGGTGATACTGCTGTAGAAACAATGGCAGATGTCAGACATCTCACAAACAGCAGCCGCAGGAGAATGGCCTGTACCACATTCCAGTGTTCATTTGTTCAGGGCCAGGCTAGGGGAAACCATCTTGGCAAGCCAGAATATTCTCATGACAAAAAGCACTGAGAAGCAAAAATCCATGTTGTGTGAGGAGAGATGAAAGAGATAAGTAGTGAAATTTCCTTATTTTCACCAGTTCTTAAGCAGCTTTCTGACTGAAGTTCAGAATTAGAATGGTGCTGTTGTATTTTTAAAAGGGAAGATAATATTTTTTATTGCAGCTTTTAATAAACTTTTCTTTTTTTAACATTCACTATTTTATCATCTGTTCCACTGGTACACCTACTACTTTCAGATTGGTTATTTTCATGTTTAGTCCATAGCACTGTCTTTCCACATACCAAGAGCATTTAAAATGCAAATAAATCGTGAGCAAAGAAATATTAACCCTCCTGTCCTCCAGAATTGGATACAGTATAATGTCAGTTCTCTAGAGTTTGCTGCAAAGACTTACTGCAGTTTAGAATAGTAGCACTAGGAGTGTCATAGGATGTTCTGCTCCCCACTGTAAGTACTAGAATTAAAGAAGTTACTTATAAGGAAGTTGGCAGTTGATTCACATTAACATCTTAAAAAAACACACAAACTAACTTTGAAGCTCTGCAGTCCGGACAAATAATGTCTCTTCCTGAGGTTTCTCTGCATGAACTGCTTTTCTTCAGAGCAGGTTCTCCTCTCCTGAGGCAAGCAGCCTGTTTTCAGTGATTTTGGTTTAAAGATGTTCCCTCTTGGATACAGGAGAATCGCAGCCACTTTGATAATATAGGGGCAAGGCAAATTTGGGTTCATTTATCTGTTACACATCTTCTTCCTGGCACTTTTCTCTACATCCTTGATTTCTGAAGACCCATAGAAGGATTATCCTCTTTTCTGTAACTGTCGTCTCAGCTCCTTGCACTGTACCTCCATCTGGTCATCTAGAGAGAACCCGAACAAACTAGAGACGGTGGTTTTAATCTCCTCAGAATAGGATAATGCAGCATCACATGAACAATCACAGGCCAGACATTGATGGAAGGAAAATACAGTGTTCAGTTTGATCTTAAAATCTACTTTTTGGCAGCACAACTAAGAATAACTGTTTCTTAATCTGGTCTCCTGTAGTGGCTGGGAGGCACACTTGGCTCTGTAGCCGCGAGGAACGGCTATGGAGGATCCCGAGAAGAAGACTGAAGTCGTCCTACTGGCCTGTGGGTCCTTCAATCCCATCACCAACATGCACCTACGGCTGTTTGAGCTGGCTAAAGACTACCTGCATGAAACAGGTAGGCTGCTAATTGATATCGTTCAGAACAGCTCTGTGTTGCTTATTACTAATTTAATGAGCTAAAGTGTGAGTTTTATAGTTTTTCTTCATGAAATACATTTTTCTAATGTAGCTTACTAAATCTTTAATTGTGCAGCCTTGCACAACGCGGGAAGAGTACTGTACTTTTCCACTGGGCTGCCTCTCAGAGCTGGCTTTGGTGTTCTTAGTGATTGCAGTGAATAATGGTTATGTAATATTTAAATACAATACGGTGGAAGGAACATCTGCTCAACCACTTTTCATGTTCTTGTGTGATGTGTTTTTTCCGCAGGAAAATACAAAGTAATCAAAGGAATCATTTCACCAGTAGGTGATGCATATAAGAAGAAAGGTCTGATCAGTGCAAATCACCGAGTAACCATGGCAAAACTAGCTACAAAAAACTCAGATTGGGTAGAAGTTGATGATTGGGAAAGCAGCCAGAGTGAGTGGTTGGAAACAGTAAAAGTTTTAAGGTATTCTTCAGCCAAAAAGTCTCAAGAACTTATGGAAGGATAAGGAAAAGTGTTACGTCTAACGTGTTAGAATAATAGCAGGCTAGCCCCAGATCAGGAATAGACTCTGAATTCAGAAATACTATTTATACGAGCATTGTAAGTGAAAGATTGCACCGTTAGTCCTAACCGTACAAAAAATGAGCCTGTGAACAATATTTAAGCTATATTATTTCTTGGGCTTTAGTCAGTTTTTTGTGCCAAAAAGGTATTTGTGGGGAAGGACAATAAACTAGAACGGAGTAGACACATGCTGCACAAGCTTCCCTCATTTAATTCTCATTCTGCTGTGCTGCCCATTTGTGTATTTGACAGCTTGCATGAGAATTGTTTGAAGGAATATCTTTAAGTTTTACACTTTTTCAGTCACTGCTCCTTGTTTGTGGTTCTTTTTAGAACTATTTTCTATTAACAAATCAACCCTTGTTGCTTTGAGATCTTTGCATTTTGACCCTCTTTTGACCCAGCTCTCACACATCCCTGTTGCAGCAGATCAGTTCTTGGGTGGCTTGACTGTGAAAGCACTGCGGGAGGAAGTGGTGAAAAGATTATTTAGTGGGCCATACTCTTCCCTGTAGTCTCCTACGTCTTGAAAATATCTAAAATACATCTGTTTTGCAGGTACCATCATCAAAAGCTTTTATCTCCTGATCCCACTAATAGTCCGCAGAATGCTATACCTTTAACAAGGCCAGGACGGAAGAGGAAGCAGGAACCAAATAAGCATGACCCTGTTAAAAAGAAAAATCAGAGTCCAGATATAAAAAGTTAAGTCTATTTGCAAATGAAATGCTTAACAGTGCTTGCTATTTCAAGGGAATTGTGTCGATGAGGAACTTTTAATGCTAGTTCTTTGTTCTGATTTCGTTGAATGAGTTTATTCCCTTGGATCTCACAACATAAAGCAGGAGGCTTGTAATAAGACAACTGTAAGTGTAAAATAAATAAGATGTGAAAAATATTCAAGATAATAGAAATTTGAACTGAAACACGTCAGAGCAATCCATTTTACCGACAGAACTTCGCTATGCTGTAGTTGCAGCTGGGAATTTTGGATTATAAATTGCTGAAGAAAGAAAGGGCAGGATTAAATCCTGATATTCAAAATGTATCTGGGTACAGAATCATTTTAAGTTGTAATTTAAAACTTCATAAAACAGACATAGCTTGGCTTTGTAATTTTAGGTAGCATTTATTTTGCTTATGGCTTTTAGATCTTAATTCTAGTTCTTTAGCTTAACATGTAACACACTATGTATTCGTGTAGAATTTGAATGGTGTTGCACAATGACCACCTTAATCCTTTGTATTAGAAAATCTTGACTTCTGCTAGACTTCTTCCCTTGAACCTTTCCAAATTCTGCTAAGTGGGAGTGTTTTAAAGTGAACGTATTCAAAGAAAAGACCAGCAGCATGACCAGACTTTTTTCACACTGTGTTCACAGGTGTTTTACCATATTCCCACCACCTCGTGACATTACTCGAAGCTGCAAATCTGCCCCGTTTCACACTGATTTTTCTTTTTAAGGCGTACCGCAGGTTAAACTGCTCTGTGGAAGTGACATCCTGGAATCTTTTGGGATCCCCAATCTGTGGAATTTGGAAGACATCGCTGAAATTATGGAAAATCATGGCATTGTATGCATCAGTAGAGTTGGAAACAGCGTTCAGAAATTCATCTACGAATCTGATCTTTTGTGGAAACATAAGAATAACATTCACTTCGTGGAAGAATGGATCACAAATGACATTTCCTCCACCAAGATTAGGAGAGCACTGCGGAGGGGCCACAGCATTCGTTACCTGGTGCCTGATTTAGTTCAGGCATACATAGAAAAACATGATCTGTATAGTTCAGAGAGTGAGGACAGGAATGCTGGGGTTGTCTTGGCTCCCTTACAGAAAAATGCAGGTGATTCCAAGAACTAACCGGCACTACACAACTAATTTACTTTCTGCTGTGAAAAAAGCTGCAGTTCAGTACCGGAAAATGTGGGGTTGAGGGGTTGGTTTTCTTTGCTTGGTTTTTGTATTTTAAAGTAAATGGTGGGCTAATTCTGTGGCTTTAGTACATGCGTAGTTGCTGTTAAGGTTTGATGCACTTGGTAATTGGAACTACACAATCTTTTTTTTAAGTCCAGTAAGTTTTTCACATTTAAACAATTTGTCACAACGCAGCGAACTAAGTACAAGAATTTGCACTTGCATATGAGAATTACAAATTAAGAAACAAAACGTTCTGATTGTGTTCTCAGACTGCTCTGACTGCTATTTATAAAATATTAACACAAATATTTTTAATAACTTACATTGTCGTAACAAAGCCATTTAATTTCAAAATGTATCACTTATTGAGACTAAATCTATATAACTCCTTTTATTAAAAACAGCCAACGTGTGGTGCACCTGAAAGAAATGGTTCAGCTCTATCCTGGAAGGGTAAAATTTACTCCTGGATGAAGTGATGCCAGATGTCCCACAATTTGAGCTGCTGCCTCTCAAACTTGCAGCCTGTCTGTCTGTTTTCATGCAATTTGCTCTCAGAAACACCTTCTGCTCCACTTAAAAATCCTGCTTCCAGAGCTGTACGTTCAGCTCAGCACTGGAAGGGCAGAGCTACTTCAGAAAGTAGTTCGTAGCCATTAATTTAATGGATAGAAATTAATGTCATTGCACTGATTCTCAGTTGTCCCTTTATTTCAAATAATAAATGACTTTTACTTTTGAGCCAAATGTATATATAGCCAGGATTATTTTCTGTAACTGGAGTTGACAACAAGTGAAATGTATTTTATTCTAACAGTTTATTGTCTGTATTATGTGAATATAAGCCAGAGAGGCACTGTGAATGCCACGTTGATAGAATTCTACCTCCCTTTATTTGCCGTCATTCCATTTTTGTTTGGATTATGTGCCTTATTGAAAATGGAAAGGTTCCCACGATCTTACCTAATGGGTCAACAGCTTTTTCATCTGATCTTCACAAGATGGCTCTGTTTACATTTTTTAGATCAAAAAATCTAGCAGAGAATGTGAGACTTCTCAGGGCAAGAAGCCTGGATGCTGTTAGACAAGTCTAGAACCAGGGACATGTTCCAGGATCCTAACTGTGACGGCCTGTCATCCTCTGGCGGGGGACCCCCAAGGAGCTGAGGCAAAGGTCTAGGCTTCCCTAGGAGCCAAGCGGGACTCGGGAGGCCAGAAACCAAACACAGACCCTCATGGGTGGGCCTGGGCCCTGCAAGGCTCAGATAAAACCCAGCAGGAGGATAGAGACTTCTGGGAAAGCCAGTAACCCACAATGCAGCCAGCATCAGGCATAAAAACTTGGAGTCCCACATGAAATTCTGCAATTGTGCTGTGCTAGAACATCAGTTTTCTACTAGTTCCAGACTGCAAAGGTGGCTTTCTACAGTGAATCTACAAGGAGATTAGTGTAATAAAATCAAGTCACAGCTTAGAAGCGTGCTAACTGCTCTGCAACAGAAGTGGCATCAAGGATTCTTTGGGTTTTTTTTCTTGGTGATTCCTGCATCAAATATGCTCAGTCTGCCTGTTTTTCCCCCAGAGGTCAGGCAGGCTCACACTGGTCTTTGCTGAAGCGGCTGGGTTCATTTGTCATCAATAGTAATAAAGGTACCAAAGGATAAATTATGCCCCCCGTGACACCTTAGCAATCAAACTGCCGTAACGGATTGAAGATAACTCTGTTATTGATGGTGCATCAGAAAGGACTTGCTGTCTGTCTTTATCACCAACAAGAATAGACGGGAAGAAAGATTTTCAGCACTTAAGTCAGCCAGTGTGCTTCTGAATAAACAGAGCAGATCTTCCTAATGGGAAAGCACCCTATTTACGTGGTCACTTTAGAGACTAAAACTGCCCTTTAAGTCTAGGTTTATTCTAAATAATGATGCTGATGGGTGTTGGTGCACTTTATGTTATTCTAGAGAAACTCCAAATTCAATGGGATGTTTTCTAAAGCTTTGGTCTCAACAGTTACATTTCACTGGGTTTTAATGTAGTTCCGTGTGATGGGTCTTTCAATAAAATAAATCACCTGGGATATGTTAATTTTAGTCATCCTGTTATTAACCAAAACTGATGTCTGGTGACTGTATGATTTTTAAGTAGGTAGAATGATGTCAGTACAGTTTTGTCTATACAAAACAGAACAGTGCTCAAAAATGACACTGACTGCTGAATGTGGATCCTTTGTTTTACCACTGGGATCCAGAAGCGCGCCTGTTAGACTAGAACTCACCACACACTGACGCTCTGCTGTTCCAGTCAGTTAGAAATATCACCATCGCAGCCAGTGGTGTGGCATGTTAAAAAATATTAGACAGGTATAACTTTCAAGAGTGGACTGGACCTAAAAGAAAATCTCTATACCTGAAAATGTAAGGTTTGTGAATAATGCAGTTCACTGAACTTCTTTGAAGAGTTATAATGTAGTCACAGATGTTCCACAAACAAAAATGAGGCTCGTTTTTTGTTTAATCACTGCATTTGGTTCTGCTCTATTAAGAGAACACAGGGTCCTTAACACCACATGACTCATAAATAGGGGAACAGAAGCAGGAACCCCTTTATCTACTTCTGTACTGAGGCCACATCTTTAAGGGATTGTGTTAGATGCTCAGTGCTGCACAGCAGTTAAGATGGAAATGGGGAAAACCCACACCTTTCCACAACAAGAAAAATGGGAATTTGTAAGAGAGAAAGAAATGAACCATCATAGGATGTGGCCAGGGCACTCGGCAGTTCTTACAAAAAGTCCCATTGGCAATTCTTTGGCTGAGTCTTGCAACAGTAACCCTTGTACCCTTTATAATCTTAATTTCAGATTAGATACTGATTTATATAAAGAAGCACCAGAAGCACCACATCCCAGACAACCCGCATCATCCTAATTTTCAATAAAATGTTATATCCAGGCTTTTACACAGGACTTAGCCAAGTACTAACTTCTCTTTTCTTGGAAAAGTCATAGTGTTGCAACAGTGCTTTACTACCCTAACCTTGTGCTAACAAATTATGGGTGAAATGTTACTATTTGACTCCAGGGGAAACATTAATTTGCATTTCTCTGTGCTATTCCTAGTTTAGTGGGGGTTAGAGAACAATATCCATCTGCAAACAGGAAACAAGCTTTGACGTCCTCATTTCCTACTTGCATGATTCTGTGAGTCATAAACGCCAAACCATCAGCTCCAAAAATGTAGCTAAAGTTCAGGGAAAACTAATTTTCTCTACAAAATATTATCTTTTTATTCAGTCTAACTTGAGACAGCGAATAGGTAAATGTAGTAGCCCTAGGTGAGTTTCCTCATTCAAGATTGAGAACACCACGTTCCCTTTTCATTATGGCAGCAACACAGCTGCGGTTTCCCTTGCCCATCCATTTTGGGTTTTTCAGGTATTTGTCCTCCTTCCTACCTAGAAAAACTGGTGGATACAGGGCTGCAGAACTGGGAACAGAGCTCAGGCCTCTGGATCTGCTGCCTCCTGTCTAACTTACTTACACAAACTTTCTGACTGTTAAGGCATCTGAGAAAATAAGAATTTCATATACATATGTTCATTTAACTAGGATATAACTAAGAGCAGTAAAGAAACCAGAACACAAATGGGTGAGAATAGCAGAGAATAATGCATAGAAACGAGATTAGTCTTTTGCTTTTCTGTTATAAGCACTGGACAACAATGCTGCCTACTCTACACTCCAGACATAAACCAGCAAGATAGAATATTTCTCTCTGTTATTGTGTCACAGGCACTACCAGCCACAGTTTAAGTCAAATGCTGTCCGTTCAAACACAGCACGTATTTACAGCGAGTAGATCACCTTTTCAACAAGTACGTACACTTCGGGTCACAAAGTCACAGATCTAATAGACATGCAGAGAATCTTAGTAATGCCAGAATCTCTCCATGATTCCCTTTAAAGCGTACAGGATGGACACGAGCATTTTAAACCAGTTTTTAATTTGCATTGCAACTCTTGGGCTATTAACATTTGCTCCACACAAAGATTTCAGAAACTGTGAACTTTTCCCTCCAAGGCAGATGAAGCTGATCTACAAACACCCTCTCACCTATTGGCTCAGCAGTCTCCTCTAGTAGCAGGCTCTGGGATGTAATCCCACCCACAGGCTCTTTTATTTAAGGCCTGGTTGGAGAACTATTTCTTCATTTTGGTTTTCTGTCAGAGGTTGGCTGTGTCATCCTTCCACAGTCTGGCAATGCCTGCGGATTTCAGTGGGACCTGGAACCTTATCAGTAATGACAACTTTGAAGGTTATATGGTGGCCTTAGGTAGGTGAAAATCTTTAAACGGCTTACAAAATACTTCTCTCATCATGGCAATCTGTTCATAAGTCTTTCTAAATGTCCCTTTTCTGGAGTGCTTGAAGCTAACCTCCTGCCTTGCTCCGATCTTTTGGAGAGAGAGATTAACAGTGCTTTAATGGAGAACTAAAAAAGTTCTCAGTGCTTTATCAGCTTTCTTGTACAGAGCTCCTTACAGACTGCGGCAACAGGCAACTGTGTGCTGCCTTCTCTCCTCCCTGTCTCTCCCACCCCTTCTGCCTTTTCAACTTGTGCCCAGCAGTGGCCCTTAACGGTTATTATATACACAACTAGAATAAAATAAATTTTCTGACAGAATGCCTTTCCTCTGACAAAGGATGAGAACAGGCATTAACTATTCCCTCTAGCTAAGCAGGGAGTAAGTCTGAGAACAAGCTTGGGGTGTCTGTGTGGGGGAAACCAATTCTCCCCAACTCCTAAAAGGAGTCCTAGAAACCTTGCACAGGAATTGTGCAACAGTTCACTGAATTGGTTTCCAAAGACTGAAATGTCCAAGAACATGACTTGATCTGTGTAACACACAGCTTTAAATAAACAAGCAAACAAAAAAAACC